TGGGGCTGCACAAGGCTTGCCAGTGGCTGTCAGCATGACAGGAACGATGGGAGAGCACCCTGCAGCCGGCAGAACCCGGGGTTCTGTGTGGCTGTATTCTGCTGGGCCCATGTGTGGACATCACGTGGGCGGCCAGGACTCCAGGCAGGAGCTTTGGAAAGGGAGCACAGATGTCTGAGTTATCCATAGACCGCCAGGTGCAAGGCCACAGGCGAGGGTCACACTTGAGGGACCTCTGTCCTCAGACACTGGGGAGAGCAGTCCCAGCAGTGAGGAGGAGGGGCTGGGAGACGAGGGGACATCAGGGGGCCGCCACGGACCTGGCAAGGCTGGAGGGAGGGTATGGCTGGTGGTGTCAACTACTGCTCAAGGGACCAGTCACGTGAGCAGGAGCCCATCGGACGAGGCCACGCGACAGGCCTGTGGGACACTGGGTGAGCCGGGTAGCCCGTGAGGGGGTGAGAGGCGGCAGCTGACAGCACAGTCAGGCCAAGCTTGTCTCAGAGGATGCGCCGCTCTGGTGTGATGATTCCATGTGGCTTCTGCTTACTGTCACAAGCCCTGCGAGTTTGGGTGAACGAGCTGCACACACACCAGCTACGTGCTGATAAGTGGCAAAGCCAGGACTGGAACCCAGGTCTTAGCTGCCTGCAGAGCGCGTTTTCCTAACCCCATGCCACACGGCCGCCCGCCGGCTTCCCATTCTTGTTGCCCAGGTTTCGTGAGGGCCAGGTGCTGGTGGCCCCTCTTGCAGAGAGGATGGGTGAGGAAGGCAGACGGGAGTCCTTCCCAATCACTGTATCTTTCTTTTGTTTTTTTAGAGACACTCTGTCGCCAGACTGGAGTGCAGTGGCACAATCGTAGCTTACTGCAGCCTCAACCTCCTGGACTCAAGTGATCCTCCCACTCAGCCTCCCAAGAACTGGGATTGTAGGCACTCGCCACCACATCTGGCCTCCAACCTTGTTTCATACTGGCAATTCCTACCTCCGTTACTCTCCAGTCAAGCTGGGTATTGGTGCACCAGGCTCTGTCCTACCAAGGAACAATGGCTCTTGAGCATTTCCTCACACCCCTGATGGTCTACTTGCATGCCCCTAGAGACAGAAGGCTCAGTACCTCTGTGAGAAGCCCAGGCGAGCAGTAGGACAGCATGGCAACTCAGAGATGGACTTTGATCCAGGTGCTTTGGTTGAATCTCAACTCTGCTACCTACTGGTATCCTATGCTGTTTCCTCATCTGTAAAATGGTAATAATAGCAGTACCCACTTCCTATTTTGATTATGAAAATGAATGTTACATGTGTTTGCTCAGTGCTTTATGAATGCCAGCCCCTACACTATTATGTTATAGTATGTTACCTTTTTTTTTTGAGTCGGAGTCTCACTATGTCACCGAGGCTGGAGTACAGTGGCACACTCATGGTGGCTGGACTCAGGCGATCTTTCTGCCAGCCTTCCAAGTAGCTGGAACTATTTGGAAGGCTACAAGAGTGTACCACCATGCCTGGCTAATTTTTTTGATTTATTGTAGAGACAAGGTCTTGCCAAGTTGCCCAGGCTGGTCTTGAACCCCTGGGATCAGGCAATACTCTCAGCCTCTGCCTCCCAAAGTGCTAGGATTACAGGCGTGTGCCACCATGCCCGGCTAGTTATGTTTCCTGAGGCCAAGCCACACCTTGCCCCCTGTGGCCTCCATGGTTGGGGGCTGGCCTCTCCCTCAGAATTCCAGGCTCTTCTGTCCTCACCTGCAGGTTACTCCCATGGGTCTCGTCTCTCCATTTCCATTTTCTCCTGGAATGCCAGGCATTCCAAGTTCAAATTTTCTTCATGCAAGCATGACGTCACAAGGTCAAGGCTTTTTCCCAGTCACTGGCAGCTCACCAGGCAAGCTCAGCTTGGCCAACACACATCTGGGCAAGGGGGAGGCAGCACTGACCTCGTCTCCGACCCACAGGACTGCTTGTGTGCCCCCAGGATTTGGCCTTCCCTGGATTTGGGCTCCCATCGTGGGCCCTCTGACTGCACACCTCAAGCGTCTGCCATTGGGGCAGGATTGTGTCATGACGCAGAGCCCAGACCTGGAGCCACACAGAGCTAAGTTCAAATTCGGACTCTTCTGCTGATTTGCTGTGTGATCTGGGCTGAGACACTCAGTGTCCCTTAGCCTCAGTCTTCTCACCTGCCCAATGGGACTCAATCTTGCCTACTTCATAGGGTGTTGTGAGGATTGATTAACAGAACACATGTGAGACACACAGCATAGTAGCCACCGTAGGAAATGTTTGGAGTCAATATCTGAGCAGCACTGTCAAGCGTGGTAGCCACTAGGCTCACATGGTAGGTGAGCCCTTGAAACATGGCCAGTCCAAATTGCAATGTGCCATGAAGTGTAAAATGCACGATGGATTTCAGACTCAGCACAAAAAAGCATTAAAAACCTTGACAATACATTTTAATATTGATTTAATGTTGAAATAAAAATATTTTGGGCCTATTGGGTTAGATGAAATATCTTATTGAAATTAATGAAACCGGGCTCGGTGGCTCAGCCTGTAATCCCACGCCTTTGGGAGGCTGAGGTGAGTGGATTGCCGGGTTCGAGACCCGCCTGGGCAACTTGGAGAGACCTCATCTCTACAATAAATCAAAAATCAGCCGGGCGTGGTAGTGTGCGCCTGTAGTTCCAGCTACTTGGAAGGCTGAGGCGGAAGGATCGCCGGAGCCCAGCAGGTCGAGGCTGCGGTGGCCGGGAGCGGCCGCTGCACTCCAGTCTGGGCGACAGAGTGAAACTCCGACTCATGTCACCCTTTTGTACTTTACTAATATGACTACTAGAAAGTTTGGAATTCCACACGTGGCACACTTCCGTGGCTTGCACTGTGTTTCTGTTGTTGCTGACTTTTGGCTTTTGTGGTTGGTTCTCAGTAGCAGAAAAGAGAGATGGGATGTTTGGTTGGGGGTGTTGGCATTTCCTTGGCTTTGCCTTTCTCTGACTTAGGGGATCGAGCTGGCAGGGCCCGTTAAGAGACCACAGAGATGTAACCCCCTCTCTGTACAGATGGGGAAACCGAGGCACATGAGAAATGGGATATACTGAGGGCCACAGAACCACGGGTGGCAAAATCCAGGCACCAATGCACAGGCGGCTTCCTGTCTGGACAATGCTACCACCTGGTGGCCAACCACAGATGACCATGGCAAGCTCCCACCACAGTGGCTCACTTCAAAAAAAAAAAAAAAAAAGAGATGGGGTCTCACCATGTTGCTCAGAATGGTCTTAAACTCCTGGCCTCAGGTAATCTTCCTGCCTTGGCCTCCCAAAGTGCAGGAATTACAAGTGTGAGTCACTCTACCCCACTTTTTTTTTTTTTTTGAGTTGGAGTCTCACTTTGTCACCCAGACTGGAGTGCAGTGGCCGCTCCTGGCCACCGCAGCCTTGACCTGCTGGGCTCCGGCAATCCTTCCGCCTCAGCCTTCCAAGTAGCTGGAACTACAGGTGTGCACTACCACACCTGGCTAATTTTTGTTTTTATTGTAGAGATGAGGTCTCGCCAAGTTACCCAGGTGGGTTTCAAACCCGCGGCCTCAGGCAATCCACTCACCTCAGCCTCCCAAAGCGCTGGGATTACAGGCTGAGGCACTGAGCCCGGCTCCTTTTTTTTTTAAACAAGGTCTGCTCTGTCACCCGTGCTGGAGTGCGGCAGCATGATCATTGCTCCTAGGCTCAAGGGATCCTTCCGCCTCAGCCTCCCAAGTAGCTAGCACTACAGACACATGCCACCATGTCTAGTTAGTTTTTACTTTTTTGTTTTTTTTTGTAGAGATGGGGTCTCAGTATGTTGCCTAGGCTTCAACTCTTGGCCTCAAGTGTTCCTCCTGCCTCAGCCTCCCAAAGGTTAAGGACTATTTGTATGCAGCAAGCATGGAGGAAGAGCTTGAGAATGGTGGCCAGAGGGACGAGGGTGCTAACAGATCTGTCATGGTCAGGGAAGGTCTGTCTAAAACGGGGACACATTTTGGCAGAGGTCTGAAAGTGAGGAAAGAGAAGAGGGCGTGTCTTCTCCCCAGGACACATCCTGTAAATCACACCTACAACTCTGCCTCCACCATACTGGCCACATGAGTCACGCGAACCACACCTGGTTGCCAGGGAGGCTGGAAATTGGTCCTTACTCTGATCAGCTAAACATGGAAACTCCTATTTCCGGTAGAAGATGAAGAAAAAGCAGACTGGGGACCAGCTGTCTCTGCCATGCTTTGTGTTTCTGATGTGACTAGCCTTGGGGGTCTGGTTGACACTTGCATGTCTCCAGTGATGGAGAACTCACTCTCTCATGCAGTAGTTTCGCTCCCTTTGAGCAGCTCTTGGAAAGCTGCTCCTACTAGCGGCTCAGGCCCATCTGCTGCAGCTCCCCAGCCCTCCTGCCCCCTTAGCACACAGCAAGACTGCCGTCCCTTCCCCAGGGAACATCTTTTTATTGGACTATTGAAGGTCAATAATGGCCAGGTGTGGTGGCTCACATCTATAATCCCAGCACTAGGTGAGAGGATTGCCTGAGTCCATGGGTTTGAGACCAGCCCAGGCAAACTGGTGAGACCTCGTCTCTACAATAAATCAAAAAATTTGCTGGGCATGGTGTGCCTGTAGTTCCAGCTACTTGGGAGGCTGAGGTGGAAGGGTTGCCTGAGCCCCGCAGATCGAGGGAGCGGTGGCCGTGAGCGTGCTGCTGTATTCCAGCCTGGATGACAGAGTAAGAAACTCCAACTCAAAAAAAGGTCAATAACTCTCCCCGGAAGACACATCTTTGGAAAGGTTTCCTGATCCTGCATCTGGAGGTTGAGAGCGGACATGAGCGCCCTCCTCAGGGAGTCGGCACACCACCCTAGTGAATGGAGCACAAGGCAGTGCTGTGTCTGGGCAGGGTTTGGGGCGGCCCCACAGAAGCCCAGTCAGTTCTGGTCCTCTCAGAATCTTCTCTGTTCTGTAACGTCTTGCCATGTATTTGGGGTACAGTGGCTCTTCCTCCTGCTGGCTCCAAGCTGCCACTGAGCCTACCCACTGAGTCTTCCATTCAGTGGTCATATGTGTTTTCTTTCTGAGTTCTCTGTGGCTCCTTTTTCAGACATACCTGGTTAGTATTAAGTTTTGCCTACACTTTTTTGGCCTGCTGTGGGTTTCTTTAAACATTTCTATCAGCCAGGAGCCATGGCTCATGACTGTAATTCCAGCACTTTGGGAGGCAGAGGCAAAAGGACTGCCTGAGTACAGGGGTTCACGACCAGCCTGAGCAATTTAGCACGACCTTGTCTCTACAATAAATCAAAAAATTAGCTGAGTTGCCTGAGACTGCGGGTTCAAGACCCGCCTGGGCAACTTGGCGGGACCACATCTCTACAATAAATCAAAAAAATTAGCTGGGTGTGGTAGCGCACGCCTGTAGTTCCAGCTACTTGGAAAGCTGAGGTGGAAGGATCGCCGGAGCCCAGCAGGTCGAGGCTGCAGTGGCTGGGAGCGGCCACTGCACTCCAGTCTGGGTGACAGAGTGAGACTCCAACTAAAAAAAAAAAAAAAATTAGCTGCGTGTGGTGGTGCTCACCTGTATTTCCAGATACTTGGAAGGCTAAGGCGTGAGGATCACCTGAGCCCAGCAGGTCAAAGCTGCAGTGGCCATGATCCTGCCACTGCAATCCAGCTTGGGCAACAGAGTGAGACTCCAACTCAAAAAAAAAGTCCCCAAAAACCAATGTAACAAAAAATAATAGATAAAAAACACAGTATAGCAACAATTTGCATAGCATTTACATGGCATGAAACATTTAAGCAACCTAGAGATGACTTAACACACACGGGAAGATGTGCATGGGTTATATGCAAATACTACATCATCGTACATCAGGGAAGTGAGTGTCATGGATTTTGGGTATCCATCCATAGGGTGTCCTGAATCAGCCCCCTCTGAATAAGAGGGACAGCTGTACTCTGTAGAGCATTTCTAGGTCCTGGATAAATTAAATCAAAAGACACACTCCAGGGCTCCAAGGAAGTAAGGAAAATTTCCAAGGACTTTGTTTCTGTTTTTAGTCGGAATCTCACTCTGTCACCCAGGTTGGAGAACGGTGGCATGCTCATGGCCACTGCAGCCTCAACCTGTTGGGCTCAGACAATCCTTCCGCCTCAGCCTTCCAAGTAGCTGGAACTACAGACACTTGCCACCATGCCTGGCTAAGTTTTTTATTTGTAGTGTAGAGACGAGGTCTTGCCAAGTTGTCCAGGCTGATTTTGAACCCCTGGGCTCAGGCAATCCTTTTGCCTCAGCCTCCCAAAGTGCTGGGATTACAGGCATGAGTCACTG